TTGTGGCTAACAAAAGCCCGTGAGCCGCTTTACATGGCCACGCATGTGGCTCTCCTATAATGCACAATCCAAGTATCCAAGTATCCCAAGTATCCCCTCTCTATACTCCTTGAATTTATAATAGAATTAGTAAAATCTTAGCTGCTACCACAGGGCTCAGGTTAGCTCCGAAACCTTGCCATTAACACATTCCCTGTACCCTCTATGGTCTGGAGCACTGATCACAACTCTACTGTAGCCGTCCCATTCTCTCCTTTCCTCACTTCACTTAGTTTAACTGTATTCTGTTCAAGGATGTTGTCTTCCTAAGTTCTCTGATACTCTCCTTCACTGCTTTCAGGATCGCAATTACTGTGCTTTGTCTAATGGTTCAGCAAATTGGATAAGTCATTCGAAATCACATCTCAAGTCCTTGAGCACTGGACCCACATGATCCAGTTTAAGAATGTTGTTTGGATATGCCACCCCCAAATCACTGTGAAACTAACCATCTCTATGTTAATTTCTTAATTTAAAAACCATTGTTTAAATTAAATAATGATAAAAATAAAATTAAAAAATAAAACTAAAAATAAAATAGAAATTAAAGTAAAAAGTTAAAATTTAAGATCCTATTGTACCTTATTGTTTAAAAATTTAGTTTTTTCTGCATTTTCTTTATGGTAAAAACAAATTGTTCCAGTTCAGAGTCCAGGATATCCAGTGGCATGTAGTATTTTTCCGGGTTTATTGGAATATTTCTAACAAAATTTTTAATATGTACATGCCTATTTGAGCACTCATTGTACTTAATTGTTGATATGAATTTTTTACTTTGATGAGGTTTATCCTTTTTCTTGTGTAGTTCCATGCATTTAACTTGATTTTTTGAGAATCCTTTAAGTTCAAGTATACAACAAACTATTTTTAATTGGTTTTGTAACTCTTTTTTATCAGTACAATGTGTTTTTGCTGTGTGAAAATAGCTAACACCTGCCATTTTTTTAAATTTCCAACTAACATTTGATTTTGGCGGAGTTATATTATATTTATTATTTGGTTTTCTCAAAACTGATGTCTTTGGGTTGATCTATTTTGGAAAGTTAATAACTCTGATATTCAGGAATTTACCTTGGATAATTTTGGTTTCCATGTCGAAGATGATCTCTCTGGGATACCCAGTACAGATTGTGTTGATGGCATTCATCATTTCTTTGAAGCTCCCAGTTAGATGTATAGAGACATCATCTCTAAACCTGAGATATTTTGTAATATTAGTGAGGTTTTTTCCATTTCGCAGTTTTTTGAAAATTTTAAGTTCAGAAATTCTTAGAATTAATTCACTTCCCCTGGCTTTGGAACAATCACCCATGGAGAACCCATTGAGAGTTTTATATGTTCCTGTTGGCTGTTTAAAATAGGAATGATTCATGATACATTCTATTCACATTGCTATATATTTGACTGAGCTTTCATGAAGTTTAGCAAATTTTGCTGCAGTTGTTACACTTTCAATTAGTAACTCTTTTTTACAGTTTGAATATAGATCAGTGAAGTCCCCTTCTATTTCTCTTGAGGATCCCCATTTTCCAACTTTAGATTTTTTAATTCTATTGATGGCTTCTTGTATTCCATTTACAGAAGGCGACCATGTTGAAAACTTATTGTGAAATTCTTGTTCAATATAAAATAGCAAATGGCTTAAAATTTTATCTAATATTTTTTTAATCACTTTTATTGAGTCATTCATAGAACTTTTTATTCCTCTTGACGTTAGTTTTTTCGACATTTGAATGGTTTATTTGCTTTAATTTTAGGATTTTGGGTTGGAGTCTTAGTACCCCAATCTCGGGTTTTTTTATTTTAATGTTGAAGTCTGACTTTTTAAATATAGCACTGAGCTCATTTGGTAAATTATTAAAAGCGTTTTTAATGAAATTTATAATACTTTCTATGTACCATTTTTCATCTATTGTAGTTTTTCCAAAGTGCTGTTGAATATTAATTTTTTCGTACTGTTTCAGTAAATCAGATAGATACATATAAACATACCCAACATTTTTATCCCCTTCAAGTATAATTAACTTTGAATTGGTTTCGAATGCTTTTCTATAAAAGGTTTCGTTTGGGAGATTGTTTAATTTGGATTTATTTAAGTATAGTTGATTTTTAAAAGATTTTAACTCTTTTTTATAAGCAGTTTCAGCTACTGTTAAAAATTCATACAGTGGTTTTGAATTAACATGATTAGTTGTTTTCTGAAACCATTGAGCTACTTTACCAGAATTTATTTTTGTGTTTAGACTGAATTCTTGCAATAGAAAGTTTTCGAGAATCTTTCCTACTTCCATATTAAAGTTTGCAATCTCAGATTTTATGTTATACTTTGTTTTAGGAGTGTATTTTTTTCCTAATTTCAAGCTATCAATAATGCTTTCTCCGAGATTTTCATTTGAAATATTAAAAAAATTCTTTTCTGACAAAGATTTTTTAATTTCGCTTAGTTCATTTTCTGCGTATTTTTTCATTGACACATAGAGGCATTTAATTAAGTGATCTTCAAATGAATGAATAATTTGCTGTTCACAATTTAATAATAAAGTCTTGGTGTGGATTGATTTAATAGCTAAACAAATACGTATTCTTGTTCCATAATCCATTGTTTGAATGTCGTCTTCCATTTGAGAATAAAAAGTTTTCCAGTGTTCTTCAAATTCTTTACCTGATTGATATAACCTGGATTAGTTCTCCATTTATATATTTAGGGGTGATTTCCACGAAAATAGCGTTCAGTTCTAAATCTAACTGCTTCAAGTCTCTTTTCTGCTCAGAACTTATCCCGAACTTGGTAACGGATATAAAAGCATATATCAGCTCTATAAAATGAATAATGTTTTCTGAAATTAAATTACTATGAGATAAAACAAAAGTATACTGTATATCATTTTTTTTATTTCGACCCTTAACTTAATTCAATATTAATTGGTTTGAATTGATCTTTCCTGAATATATAAGCAGGTAAATAAATGAAGCTTTATAAAAACATGAAGTTAAGTTACTTGAGTAAATTGAAGAATTGGACACTATTGCTTCTAAAGGGGATGTCCTTTAAAGAAACTTTTTTTAAATTTTTTCCAAACTACATTTAAAATTAAGAGTAAAATACGAACTAAGCTTTAAATAGGTATTATTCAGAATCATCAAAAGAGTTTACTGGAAGTGTGTCTCCTGAATAAGTTGGAGAAATTATCGATGAAGGTGTTGATGATGGTGGGGATCTTGATGACGATCTGAGTGGAATAGGAGAAGATGTAGGTGGTTCTGTTCTTGAACTTCTGCTAGATTCATAATGAAGGTCAAGTTCGGTATCATCTTTAAAATACTCAGTCATCTTTTTTTGAGTTTTTTCCAACTTGATTTGTTTTTTATCTTCATAGGAATGCTCTTCTCTACGTTTCTTCGCAGGTATCTTCTTTGCCTGTTCAAATTGTGAGGAGAATTTTTCCTTGATAGGATCTATTGAAGAAACTCCTGAAGCCGAAAGTTGAGTTTTTGAAACTATAAGCTTCACTGTTTCTAAGCAGTTAAGCTTTGCTGGAATTTTAATAACCCAGTCTGAAGTGGTGACATGGAAACGAATCAACACGGAAACGACTCAACACGGAAATGCCTCAAAAAAACAGAATCATAAAACTAATTTAATGTCGTCTTCTCTCAACTTAAAATTAAAAAGACTATATTCTACTGATTTTCACAGCCATGGCCGCAGCGCTCGGTCTCCTAGACTGTTCTAGCCGTAGCGCACGGCCCCCTAGCCTGTCCTAGTCTCAGCGCTCGGCCCCCTTATAGCCATCCTAGCCGCAGCGCTCGGCCCCCTTTGTAGCCTGCGGCGCAACCTAACTTACCCTAAATTAATGGTAAAATAATTGTTAAATTTTTTTTAATGTTAGAAGACGACATTAAATTAGTTTTATGATTCTGTTTTTTTGAGGCATTTCCGTGTTGAGTCGTTTCTGTGTTGAGGCGTTTCCATGTCACCGTCTGAAGTAGGATTGAGGTTGTTTGAGGTTTTAAGACTTACGGTGTAGTTCCCCCAGAACACCATATACAAATCGATTTTAATCTTTTCGTTAAGATTTGTAATCTCTTGCTCTGTTCCAAATGACCAAACTTGAACTGATTCACCTTTTTTTTGACCTTGAAACAGAGATTCCAGCTTTTCTTTTCATTAGAATTGAGTCTAGGAACAAGATTCTCGACTATCTGTCCAAAGAACGGTCGGACACTTCTTTTACCAATATCCATTGGTTCTATAGGCTCCAAGGGTTCTGAATCCTTCCTTGATTCACTGTTAACATAGCTTTCTGGCCACATGAACTTCTTCCTGTACACATGTTCCGAATAAACGGTTTTATCTATATCAGGATCACTAATCTTTTCAGAGCTTTCTCCTTGACTAGATTTATTAATCTTTTTCTCTTCTTCTGTATCTTGATCTTCATCTTCTTTTGGTTTAACATTACTTTCGATAAACCCAGAATCATCATGAGTTCCCATGGTGTAATTCCTGATCATCTCTTCATCCATCTTGAAACCACCGAACAGAGTTATGAACCCGGATTTAAAGATGTGAACGAGGATTTATTTGCGTAGGAGCTTGATATTCCAAATTTAATTTTTAGGAAGCTTACACTCGGTTCTATCCCTGGTTGGGTTAGTTTAAACTCTTCTCGTAGAATTGAATTGAGGACTCTTCTAACAGCTAGATCAAAAACGAACGTTGTTTTCTCTTCTTGAGTTTGATCCTGCTTAGACAAGAAGTTTTGAATTTCTGGATTTGAGCAGTTTACTCCAGTTTTAAATGCACATCCACCACATATGTGTTCTTTTGCTAAATCATCTGTTCTATAACATTCAGCGTGAGAGAACCTGTCACAGGTTTTATATAATAGCATTCCATTCTCGTATGTTTGAATACTACATACACAAAAGATTGATCCTGGTTTCCGGGTTTTCCCATGTTCCGGTTTCCTTGATTTAGAAGAATTTGAATAATCAGGTTTAATTACTTGTTCTTCTTTGACTTTATTTTCCAAAAAAAATTTTTAAAAACCCCAAAAATATCAAGTAATTCAATTGAAATATTCGTCATTGAAGTATTCCATTGAAGTATATTCAACTAATTTCCTAAGTTCCTAGTTATTAAATATTAAAGCCTAAGGATTGATTAAACTCGTTTTTTCTTACTTCTTTGCATTCTTGTCTTGATTATAATGTCTAGATTCATTCCTTAGGTTCTGGAATGTCGAATATTCACGCCTCAATCTTGAGTCAGTTTTTTGCCTATAGAAATTGAAGCTGCAATATTATTTTTTTAAAGGATTTTGATTTAAAAACTTAAGATTTGAATCTATGAGTTTACAATATATTTTTGAATTTTTTCCAGTTTAGATTATGTAGTTTTTCTTACTTAGGATTTTCCATTTCTCTTCTTCTATCTTTAGACCCAGTCCTTAATCTGGAACTGACGTACTCCTGGTCTATTTAGCTCCTATAGATATTTTGTATTATTCAAATGATTTTAAATGATTTTAAAAAACACTCTTTTAAGTTTCTTTTTCCATAACTTTTTAAAATTTTTTTACTTATTTTTGATCGGTAATCTTCTTTCAATCTTACTTTTGATAATCAGATCTATCAGGAGATCTAGTTCTTCTTTCCTTAGGTTCGTTTTTTGCCATCAGGACATGTCTAAATCTACATGCTTTATCTCGCCAGCATCTCCCGTTTTGGTAGAACTTACAGATTTTATCCATTTGAGTTCTGAAATTTAATTCAATTAAATTTCTTTTCTTCTCGTTGTTCAACTTCAATTTGTAGGTTTTCTAAATCAATTCATTTCCACTTAATGAGTACTGCAAGATAGCTCCCTTAGTCTGGTTATTAACTGAAATAATTAGTACATTACTTATGAAAAGTATAGTACACTACCAAATTAAATGGATAGATCGACCTTAGAAGTATTCTTTATCATAGGTCCGTAGACGGGATACTACTATACATTCACCCCCAGTTTTTAGTTTGAATTAAGTAGCTGGCAAATTACGTTTCATTGAAATGATTAGAAATAACCTCTTTTAAAACCAAACTTTGAAGAAATTACCTAAAAATGTTCATCCTTAAGTTTTGGTGGTTAAAAACCAAGTGTACAAATAGGATTTCTTAGTTATGAAACGTTACAAAATTTTAAAATAATAAAGTTTAAGAAAAAATTGAAACATAAAAAATTCTGTCCCGTGATTTGAATTGTATAGTAGCCCAGTAACAAGGTAGAAGCACATCCAACAGTTTGCCTGAATAAAAACAACTTTAAAATTAGGTAGTTTCAAATTTTAGTGTGAAAAACGCCTTTTCCAAAAATTAGGTACCCATACACTGCGATATCTCATCTAATGTGAAAAGCTATCATGACCTGATTCTTGCTATACCTACAGAGTCCTCATTCGCCAGTGATAAGATTCTAGCTCTTCAGCTCATGTTAACTGCCTTGCTTAACCAGGTAGGAGAAGATGAGATATCGCAGTGTATGAGTAACTTTTGCAAGGTTTGGAAAAAGAATATTAACAACGAAGGTGACTGTGCTGAGTTCCTCATGAAGATCTTATCTTCTCTGGAGGATTATCTGAAGAATACTGTTCTCGAGGAAACCTTTGAAAGGTTGGTATACTCTACTGGTGAAGCTGGGGAGAAGGAGTCTTTTAAATACCTTAACCCCAGCAGACAGGACACCAAGTTGGAGCAGGAAATTTGTGGTACTTTCAAGGAGCTCACTTCACACCTGTTCTTCTCTATTAATTGGGTAGCAGAAACTGGTGAACGAGAAATCAGAAAAATGCACTTCATGACAGATCTCAACTCGAGGGTTTTAAATAAACTGTCGGCACCGATGAAGCACAACTTCTCTAGCTACAAACTTACTGCAGTGATTGTACACAAGTTCAAGTTAAACAAACCCCACTACAAGGTGTTTGTCAAGTCTGGATCAAACTAGATTCTACACAATGATGAGATCATCACGAAAACAAGTCAAAAAGCAGTACTAGAGACTTGTGGGAACTCAGGTGGCGTGGAAGATCAGCCCCTAGCTACCATGTTAATATACACTTCTCTAGAGAATTCCTCCGATTACCGTATCCCTCCACATCTAACTGAGAGATATTGTAAGTTGTTCTTGCACCCTAAGCGAGAAGTGATGATGACTGAGTATTATCACTAGGGATTTCTTCAGCTCTTCTCACAGGTTAGTGGAAGAGAACAATGTAGAGGTGTCTCATTTCGAGAAGGAGGTTAGGCAGTACCTGGCTCCTTAGTTTGCCTTTAGCCTTGTGTCCTTCTAACTCCAAACCACCTGTTCTGGGTATGGAGGTGAGATAAAGGTGGAGAGTCGTCAGATTATCTTAAGTGACACATTCTCTTCTCTTGCTAGTGGATCAAGATCAATCAGGCTACTACTTTTTGGATGTTTGGAGTTGTCAGACGTAGAGCCAAGAGAACAGTTGACAAGTATTTGTATCAAGACCTTCAGGAACAACTCTTTCTCCAGCGACTTATACTTTTCTTGGATGTCAGGCGAAACTGTCGCCAGCTGGGCTATAGACAGCGGAATTAAGAAGTATACCCCCTTTCTTGTAAACGGTGAAACTGCACTGAAGCTTGAAGAACATTCTCTGCTATCCTCTCTCTCCCAGGATGGATGTATTGCGGTTCTCGTCTAATGATCTATCCGGAAACCTGGAGGAGCACCTCACAAGTCTCTTCAACACAGTCAGAATCCAGTTGATTTCAGAGAAGGAAGAATGTTGGATCGAGGCCAACTACAACACTTCTTCTGAGCAGGTTTATATGGAGGTGGGGAGAATATTCAACCATGACTCAAGGAAGGTTCAGATCAGGACCCTTGACAGTGCTGGGGTTCCAGGACCACCTATACCATCTACTGAAGATCTAAAACCTCTTCTGGAGAATCTGCATGCCTACAGACAGCCCCGAATTCTGAGAATCAGACTACTTGATATGGAACTTGTGGAGTATGAGGAGCTTTCTGACGTTACTGTCACGTCTAGATTTAAACAAGCCAAGGCAGTTAAACCTCAAGATAAATCTGTCTTTTAACACTCCCCTTCACTGTCTCCGGGAAAAGGGACTTGGGATGTGATTTCGAATTGCTTGCACGTGAGGGAAGTGACCGGCTATCTTAACCCACACGTATGATACAACATATGAGCCCTTGAAATTAGTGCTGGCTGAAAAGCTAAGCTGTCCCTAAAGCTGCGCATAGGGACAGATAAAAAGATAAAACATAATTTTAAAAAAGTTTTCTATTCACCGAGATTTGTATATCATTGTTAATCATATAGCTTTTATTTCGCTCGACCATTGCACCTGCAAATAAAATTTGTATAAGGGTGTACATTTAGGCGGTCAGGACAGCTTCAAAGATAAAATTAACTTTACGTGGCAAAACCAAGCTGTGCTAACCAACACAGCTGTTTAGTTAAAAGTACGATATTTTACTACTGTCCTATTCAGCCACTCTATACAGAGATCCGAGAGGGGGGCATGTTAAGGCGGTAAGAACAGCTTCCAAGAAATTATTAAATTAACGGGTCACAACCAAGCTGCGATAAATGTTTAATATTTTGAAAGGAGTTTCAGGGGTTATCTAATAACTCCAAACATACATGCAGTTTTAAGAGAAAATATGACGAGATGTATGGCCCAAAGCATACCTAAAAGTTTGTGGCTAACAAAAGCCCATGAGCCGCTTTACATGGCCATGCATGTGGCTCTCCTAGCGTGCACAATCCAAGTATCCAAGTATCCCCTCTCTATACTCTTTGAATTTATAATAGAATTAGTAAAATCTTAGCTGCTACCACAGGGCTTAGGTTAGCTCCAAAACCTTGCTGTTAACACATTCCCTGTACCCTCTATGGTTTGGAGCACTGATCACAACTGTACTGAAGCCATACCATTCCCTCCTTTCCTCACTTCACTCAGTTTAACTGTATTCTGTTCTCAAGGATGTTGTCTTCCTAAGTTCTCTGATACTCTCCTCCACTGCTTTCAGGATCGCAGGTACTGTGCTTCGTCTAATGGTTTAGCAAGTCGGATAAGTCATTCGAAATCACATCTCAAGTCCCTTTTCCAGGAGACAGTGAAGGGGAGGGTTAGAAGACAGATTTATCTTGAGGTTTAACAGCCTCAGCTCTTTTAAATCTAGACGACAGAGCGTGACAGTAATGTCAGAAAGCTCCTCATACTCCACAAGTTCCATATCAAGTAGTCTGATTCTCAGAATTCTGGACTGTCTGTGGGCATGCAGATTCTCTGGAAGAGGTTATAGTTCTTCGGTAGATGGTATAGGTGGTCCTGGAACCCCAGCACTGTCAACAGTCCAGATCTGAACTTTGCTTGAGGCATGGTTGAATATTCTCCCCACCTCCATATAAACCTGCTCAGAAGAAGTGTCACAGTTGACCTCGATCCAACATTCTTCCTTCTCCAAAATCAACTGGATTCTGACCGTGTTGAAGAGACTTGTGAGGTGCTCCTCCAGGTTTCCGGATAGATCATAGACGAGAACTGCAATACATCCATCCTGGGAGAGAGAGGATAGCAGAGAATGTTCTTCAAGCTTCAGTGCAGTTTCACTGTTTACAAGAAAGGGGTGTATACTTCTTAATTCCGCTGTCTATAGCCCAGCTGATGACAGTTTTGCCTTACATCCAAGAAAAGTAGAAGTCGCTGGAGAAAGAGTTGTTCCTGAAGGTCTTGATACAAATACTTGTCAACTGTTCTCTTGGCTCTACGTCTGACAACTCCAAACATCCAAAATGTAGGAGCCTGATTGATCTTGATCCACTAGCAAGAGAAGAGAACGAGTCACTTAAGCTAACCTGACGACTCTCCACCTTTACCTCACCGCCGTACCCAGAACAGGTGGTTCAGAGTTAGTAGGACGTGAGGCTAAAGGCAAAAAAAGAGCAAGGAACTGCCCAACCTCCTTCTCGAAATGAGACACCTCTACATTGTTCTCTTCCACTAATCTGTAAGAAGAGCTGAAGAAATCCCCAGTGATATTACTCACAGTCAGCATCACTTCTCGCTTAGGGTGCAAGAACAACTTAAAATATCTCTCAGTTAGATGCGGAGGGATACGGTAATCAGAGGAATTCTCTAAAGAAGTGTATATTAACATGGTAGCTAGGGGCTGATCTTCCATGCCACCTGAGTTCCCACAAGTCTCTAGTACAGCTTTTAGACTTGTTTTCCTGATCATCACATCATCCTGTAGAATCCAGTTCGATCCAGACTTGACAAACACCACATAGTGGGGTTTGTTTAACTTGAACTTGTGTACAATCACTGCAGTAAGATTGTAGCTAGAGAAGTTGTGCTTCGTCGGTGCCGACAGTTTATTTATAACCCCAGAGTTGACATCCCTCACGAAGTGCATTTTTCTGATTTCTCATTCACCAAATTCTGCTACCCGGTTAATAGAGAAGAACACATGTGAAGCTAGCTCACATAAAAGACTCCTTCTCTCCAGCTTCACTAGTAGAGTATACCAACTAGCAATAAATTGATAGATTTTTTGAAAAATTCAAATTCATTATTAATGAGCCATAAATGCTTTTGACAATCCAATATTGAAATTTTCTACTTATTAATGTAAGAGAATCATGTTTGTTAAAATTTGGGGGGGGGGGGGGGAGAAGAACAGGAATAATTAAAGAAACACCACCACTTGTTATTATTGTTTCATGTGGAAAAATATTAAAGTCAGCAAAGTATGTGCATAACTCCAGCATAGTGATCACTGATTTCCCTAGGGCTTGATTTATGTCAATGATATTAATAGAGTCCCCAAACCATGATTTCTGCTCTTTAATCATGTCTGCTTGACAGGCGTATGCTAGAACTCTGTCCTCCAAATGCCCTCTAATATCTAGACCATTCTTATTTGCAAGAGCTTGCACGTGAGGGAAGTGGCTGGCTATCTTAACCCACACGTATGATACAACATATGAGCCCTTGAAATTAGTGCTGGCTGAAAAGCTAGGAAGCTGTCCTTGAAGCTGCGCACAGGGACCTCATCATTGTGTAGAATCCAGTTTGATCCAGACTTGACAAACACCATGTAGTGGGGTTTGTTTAACTTGAACTTGTGTACAATCACTGCAGTAAGTTTGTAGCTAGAGAAGTTGTGCTTCATCGGTGCCGACAGTTTATTTAAAACCCTCGAGTTGAGATCTGTCATGAAGTGCATTTTTCTGATTTCTCGTTCACCAGTGTTCGCTACCCGGTTATTAGAGAAAAACAGGTGCGAAGCGAGCTCCTTGAAAGTACCATGAATTTCCTGCTCCAACTTGGTGTCCTGTCTGCCGGGGTTAAGGTATATAAAAGACTCCTTCCCCCCAGCTTCACCAGTAGAGTATACCAACCTTTCAAAGGTTTCCTCAAGAACAGTATTCTTCAGATAATCCTCCAGAGAAGATATGATGTCCATGAGGAACTCAGCACAGTCACCTTTGTTGTTAATATTCTTTTTCCAAACCTTGCAAAAGTTACTCATACACTGCGATATCTCATCTTCTCCTACCTGGTTAAGCAAGGCAGTTAACATGAGCTGAAGAGCTAGAATCTTATCACTGTTGAATGAGGACTCTGTTGGTATAGCAAGAATCAGGTCACAATAGCTTTTCACATTAGCCAGAACCTGTAGAATTGAGCTCATGAAACAGATGCTTTCAGGGTTAGGAATCCCAACCGTCAGACTGATCTTATTCACCACCTTGTTCTTCTTCAAGACCGTACCAGATGTACTAGCTTCACATACTTCATCGGGTTTCTTCCTCTTCTTCACCATGATTCTTGCAAAGCAGATGTAAACCAAGGGTTGATGGTGTTCTTATTTTTGCTTGGTTTTGACTCTAACTATCTTCATAAATATTATTGAAAGTGCTAGAAAATTCATAAAATGCAGTAACAGGGTCATTTATCATTATAGATGTCCAGTCATTTAGTTGCAATATTTCCCTAAACTTAGCTTTATTTTCAATTGAAGTATTTCTAATTAAAATTGGTTGACTCTCAGGAATATCTTTATTTTGAGGGCACTTTGTTATCGAAAAAACAGGTAAGTGATCAGATGAACTTGAATAAATAATCCCGGACTCTTTTAATCTCGGTTTGTGTTGAATCAATTCAGATATAAAAAATCATAAACAACTAATATAAATCGTAATATAAAAAACGACAAGAATCTACCTGTTCATCTTGAGTCCTCAGGTTTTGTACCCCTGCACATTCAGACACGCCTTTCTCGCATATAAGTCAGTCTGCAATGGTGACAATTCTGGGGTAAATACTAGACAAAATATACAAACTATAACCTTGTAAAGGAAGCACTTTAACATCATACTAATATAAAAAAATCCGAAATCAAAGTACCAATTCTACTTGTGGAAAATGAGGCGCCAAAAGTAGTTGCAAACCTAGGGGGCATTTAAAACCAAATCTAATCATCTTCAATATAATCTATTAGGTATATAAAGATGACAATAGACTCTCACTTGCTCATGCTTATTCAGAAACAATGGTCCCAAGTCAAAATGAAACTGATGTGAAGTAATAAAAATCATGAGGATAAATATCACTTCAAACACTTAATAGAAACTGACCCAGGATCCCCACTTCAGTCTGTCGGCGTAAATCTCATTTCGACCAATTGGAGCCGACAACCTGCACAGGCCCTAAACCTTCACACATAGCGAAATAATATTTGGTCCCTGAACCAACTAACGAGGGTTTTATAACACTCAACAGTTTAAATTAGAATAAATGTGGCTAAGAAGTGTGGCAGAAGTTTCTGATATATGTGTGGGCAAAGTAATTAGCGAAAGTTGAGAATGTGATAACAGGGTGTTTAAAAAGTTAGATGTAGCATTGTGAGAATTGTTTATAAGCAAGTTAATATTGAGATCTCCCAGTATTTCAACTTCCTCAGCTATGTTTAAGATTTTGTCAAACGAAATTTTTTTAAGAATTTTATCTAATATTTCAGTAAAATTATCAAAACTAGAATTGGGAGGTCTGTATATGATACCAATTATTTTGAATTTCTTAAGAGAAACTTTTACCTTTCCTGCAAATTGAGAACACAATTTGACTGTAGCTTATCCTTTGCAATAGTGGCAATAATACTTTTCTTTAAACCATTAGCTGACTACGATTTGATATCTACATTTTCTAGTTTAACTCTTCTAATATTTTAGGAACTTAAATGAAATTATTGATGTGAGGTTTGTTTTTTGGAATGATTTCATCAGAGAAATCCAGATTTTGGAACATATTCCTCTACCAAATATTCTTAAGAAGCTAGTTACAAACAACAGGTTGATCGTTCTCCAAGAGAATATTTACAGGTAAAGTTGAGTGTATATTTTAAAAAATCCCCCTCTTTTGGGAAATCATTTATTTTCCCCAGAAATTGTATTTTATACTTTATAAATGATTTTTTGGATAAAAACTATCAAAAAGAAAGAAAAAGCTTCCTTCTGATTCATCAAAAATCATTTCCCCCCCCCTCCCGGTGTGGGGCTTTTACTTAAATTTCTGGAATAGAGACATCTAGTGGCGAAACTCAGAAGGTCCTAATCCGACCTAATACGACCTAAATCTGACTTAAGGGCACTGGTTAGGTTGTGACCAGTTATGACCAGTTTAGTAATCCAACCAAGCAAGACCTAATCTGACTTAAGGGTCAAGTCATGAACAGCTAGGACCAGTTAGGTAAAGCAACCAAGTCAGACCTAATCCAACCCAATCCAGTTAGGTGTCCTGACTTAACTCCACCAATCACGACCAAATCCGACCTAAGTGGATTGGTCAGGTTAAGACCAGTATGAGACCAGTTAGGTAACTTGACCTAACCCGACCTAACCTGACCAAACACAACCTAGGGGGACTGGTCATGTTCCGACCAGTTAGGTCTTCTAACATAACTCAACCAATCTCGACCAAATCCGACCTAAGTGGATTTGTCAGGTTAAGACCAGTATGAGACTAGTTAGGTAACTCAACCTAACCCGACCTAACCTGACCAACAAGACCTAGGGGGCTGGTCATGTTCCGACCAGTTAGGTCTCTTGACATCTCAGCCAATCTTGACCAAATTCGACCTAAGTGGATTAGTCAGGTTAAGACCAGTATGAGACCAGTTAGGTAACTAAACCAAACCTGACCTAACCTGACCAAACACGACCTAGGGGGACTGGTCATGTTCCAACCAGTTAGGTCTCCTGACATAACTCAACCAATCTTGACCAAATCCGACATAAGTGGATTGGTCAGGTTAAGACCAGTATGAGACCAGTTAGGTTATTCTAACTAACCCGACCTAACCTGATCAAACACAACCTAGGGGGACTGGTCATGTTCCAACCAATTAGGTAATCACATAACCCGACCTAACCTGACCTAACCTGACCTAAGGGGACTGGTCATATTGCGACCAGTTTGGTAATCTGACATAACCCGACCAAACCTGACCTATTTCGACCTAATGGGACTGGATGCTCGGTGTCGCTGGTTGCTAGGGATGCTGTACAATACAGAAAGGGGGGGGGGGGTAAAAATTGTACATCAAAATACTACCTTTTTCATTCTTTTTGATAGTTTTTTGTATTATTTGAAGGTTAGGTTAGGTTAGGTTAAGACAATTTCTGGGCTGAGTGCTGCGGCTAAGACAGGTTGGGGGGCCAAGTGCTGTGGTTAGGACAGGCTAGGGGGCCAGGCGCTGTGGCCACAAGTCCATATAACAGCTATAAGACCACGTGCTAGTAGGTCAGATGTGTAATATATAGCGGATTTTTCGTAGGTCAGAAATGGGGTATAGCGGATTTGCGTAGGTTGAAAAATACACCACCCTGAAGCTTTGTCAAAGATTTTAGTTAATATTTTAGATACAGATTTAGTAGGCCAAAATATCGCTTATTTGGATCCTAATAAGACAAATGATGCTGACCCATGACCAATTTAATTGAGTCTAATTGGTTTCTATATTAGGAGGGTGAGCAGAGGTTAAAGTTTGAACAGAAGAGGAAGATGCATTACAATGAGTTTCAAGCAATTAAAATAGCTCGAGCTCTCATGCCGGAGGAAGGAGGTAATAACATTGCACTTTTAAAGGGACAGTTCACATTATTGTTACATTCATTAAAATCTTTTGAATTATTTTTTCCCAATGGTTTGATATCTTCTTAAACTTTATAACTTCTCAGGGGTAAGTTTTTCTTGATAAAGCCGATATCATACTATGTGCTTGTTNTAAAAAATAAAGAAAAAATTTAAAATCTGGTTTTTATTGTTTAAATGTTTATGTTTAGGATTAAAACTCGGAAATTGGTCCATTACCAACGTTCTGTACCATTTATAGTGCCGTGCCCTTGTGAGCCATAATTCACAAGAGCCAGGACCCTGTGCGCGCCTACGCACAGGAACAGGGCCCCTGTGCACGCCTACGCACAGGAGCAGGGCCCCTATGCGCGCCTAAGCACAGGAGCAGGGCCCCTGTGCGGTATAACTCACATGCAGTCCTGGTATGTGAGAAAAACCGCACAAAATAATACACTCCCTCACAGTGTGTGCGGAGTAGCGCACACGGACTGGACTGTGTGTGAGATTTACAAACAAGATGTGAGATACTTCGCACAGAATTTACTTTCCATCTCACATGAGATTAAATAACATTATGTGCGATAGATTGCAACGGTATGGGGACAATGCGATAGTTCGCACATTCTGTGCGATTTTCCTCCATGACTTTCTAGCAGTGCATTGTAGAATGTCTGTAAAATGTTTTCATGTTCATTGTACAATCTAAAATCATGACTTGAAAATAAAAGTAGTCATCCTATTTCATAGTTTTCTGGTTCTCATTGTATTAAATTATAACTGTGCAGAAGTCTCGATAGTCTGAATAGTCTCCTCATTCGTTGATAAACCTGTAAAGTGTACTTTGGTGTGTCTCTGTTTAGTTTTATTCCCGAACTAATAAACCCCTTAACTGATTTGCCTCAAATTTGGATTGGTGAAGCACAGGAAGTTTCCTAGCTTGGCTTTAAAAAATCCTGCAAATCTTCAGGTAAAGCTGAAGTTCCAAGCTAGTTACCTAGATATCTATCCATCTATCCTACCTGAACCTGGACTCTGAAGTCCACAGTATAGATAGTTTAACAGATACAAGTCCTATCCCAACAGCTAGGTTGGGTCCTCTATCTATCTGTCCTACCTGAACCTGGATTCTGTAGTCCACTGTATAGATAGTTTATCAGATACAAGTCCTATCCCACAAGCTAGGCTGGTTCCTCTATCTATCTATCCTACCTGAACCTGGACTCTGTAGTCCACTGTATAGATAGTTTATCAGATACAAGTCCTATCCCACCAGCTAGGCTGGGGCCTGGATGATAAACTCGACCTAAAAGTTCAATTCTTTATTAGCGATAAAATTTTCAAAAATAAAGTTCGAAAAAACTTAAATGGGACATCTACTTGCAGACTTTCTTTTTCGATACTTTCCCCCAGAAGACTAAATTAATGAATTAGCACCTTTAAACAAAAGGAAGTGAGTTTCTGCCACAAACTCAAACTGTTTAATCCATCTATCTTAGCAACCGGAGAGTAAAAGTGTTCAATATTTTAAACTAAGATAAATTGTTATAACTAAATTCATAATTTGAAACATCTCGAGTCTACGACATTGACTTGTGCAAAGATATAGAGATTAGAAAATAAGAGTTTGAGGCAAAGTCGGAATTTTTGTGCGTTAAAGGAAAACAATTTACTTGTCAGTTAAGGCGTTGATTAAACGTTATATTTATTTACCAGTGTTTGGCACCATACATATAAGATTAGGTTTGAAGGGTTGGACAAGAAGTTCTTCTGCCCAGTTATGCTCCAGGTACCAATTCTCTTCACCTCTATTATATACAAGATTAGGATTAAAGGATTGGAACTATTATACTCCAGTTCTTCTCTCCGCTAATCATATATGAATATATATATAATTATATATATAAATATATATATATACAAGATTAGGTTTAAAGGATTGGAACTATTATACTCCAGTTCTTCTCTCCGCTAATCATATATGAATATATATATAATTATATATATAAATATATATATATACAAGATTAGGTTTAAAGGATTGGAGCAGTTATGCTCCCGTTACCAGTTTTCATCTCATCTAATCGTACATTACTATAATAGTATAGATTAATGCTAGTATGTTGTTGATGTTAATTTGAAAAATTAAATCTATTTATTTTAGTCATAAGTGCATCCTGAATTTGATGGTTTCAAAATTATTAACAGCTTAACAATTTTATTTTGTATTGAGCTAACGTAATAAAGAACTATCAAATCACTGCTATCTCAAAAGATTATGGTTTTAAATTACTCGTCTTACCTTATCTTTAGTTTTTTGATATGAGTAAATACTATAGGACGGTCCAGACTTCGAACAAAGTTTCTTTCTCTAAAAAGAAAAATCTTAATTTTCGATTTTAACTCATAGATTAGAATACTTTTATATAGTCCATAAACAATACATCACTATAGTCGGTATTCATTTCTATTTTTTGCATTTCTGACACATAAAAATTTTTAAAAATGTTAGAAATTGTTTTCTATTCGTTTTAACTTTCTCGGTTTTAGAAAATAAACAAGAATTTCTAGATCTTTCGATCTTCAAACTCTTTGTAACATACAAATTAAGAAAAGTTTTTTGAATTTTTTTTTGGTGGGAGCAAATATCAACATACTGATAAAACAGCCCAAGAAATAAAAGGCTTTTTTGATGCGAAGTCGACCATTTCTCAACAAAATTTTTTATCTTAGAATAATAAAAATTGTATCAAACCTGCCACACAAAGATATGTACTTAAATTCCTCCATGTACCGTCCAGTCTCATTCGGCTTCAATCTTTACATGTAACAGTTAACACTATGAACTTGATTTTGAAATAGTATTTTATCATTATATTGAATTTTTTTCATAAAGAAAACCTTTTGAAGAAGTTGTAAAGTAGTTTCTTTTCTTTGAGCGCAGCAGTGAAATGCTTCATACGTGAATCATCCTTAAAAATGATCGAAAATAAATTATATCTGACATATCGTGCCACACCAAGCGCAGCGTTTTGTGACACAAAATAATTATATTCTTTTATCCTCCAACCTGAAAAAGCATCCCATTGTGATCAACGTAGTAAAAATATTCACGTATTCCAGGAGTTGGACTTTGACCCTAAAATTAATTTGGACCTTAGTAACTTATGCAAAACTTACAACAACATAATAATTCTTTAGACACGACGTTCAATACACTAATGGTTTAAGACTGCATCGTTTGGGATTTAGACAAGGCTTTTAAAATACTTGACATAATTGCAGTTTAAAGGAAGTAATCGACAAGGAGGGATAGTTGAGTTGAGACTACAGTAGAATGGGATTAAATTACAAAAGATGTTTAAAAGAGAGTGGCCGCAAGGAGGGATAGTTGAGTTGAGACTACAGTAGAATGGGATTAAATTACAAAAGATGTTTAAAAGAGAGTGGCCGCAAAGAGGGATAGTTGAGTTGAGACTACAGTAGAATGGGATTAACAAAAGATGTTTAAAAGAGTGGCCGCAAGGAGGGATAGTTAAGTTGAGACTACAACAGAATGGAATTAAATAACAAAAGATGTGGCCGCAAGGAGGGATAGTTGAGTTAAGACTACAAAAGAATGGAATTAAATAACAAAAGATGTTTTAAAGGGAGTGACCGCAAGGAGAGATAGTTGAGTTGAGACTACAGTAGAATGGGATTAAATAACAAAAGATGACTTAAAGAGAGTGGCCGCAAGGAGGGATAGTTGAGTTGAGACTACAACAGAATGGAATTAAATAACAAAAGATGTTTTAAAGGGAGTGACCGGCAAGGAGGGATAGTTGAGTTGAGACTACAATAGAATAGAATTAAATAGCAAAATATGTTTTACGGTGTGTAATTAACGAGAAGAGCAAACCCCGTTATTCTAATTGTTTAGAGGCAGGCTAATCCAGAGGTTCCCCTCGAAACATTTTTTTACAACTTTTTAAAAAATCGGACGAAAAACATAACAAAAATTGTGCCTACAATGTTCAGTAACAGAATAAGAAAATGCGCTCTTACTTAGCAATTATACAACGCAAGAAAGAATCCTTGACTATCGTTTTAACACTAGGTTAGGAACCCATCTTTAATACCTGTACATATTCGGCTTTGGCTCGGTTGCAGAAGTTTCTATAATAAAATACTAATTTCAGTTAAGTGTTTGCTGGTTCAATTTATCCAAAAATACGCTTTCGTTACAATTTACTGCTTATATGTTAAAACAATTCAGTGAATTAACTTACTAATTTTTGATGCATTGAAATACTTGCATGGAGGAAATAAGCTTAGATTTTCTTATAGAGGTGTTTGAACTGAAGACTAACACTGTGTCAAGATAAAATTAAACCTGCAAGAAAGTTCAACTAACCACACATGGTTCAACTACAGGGTGTCCCAAAAAACATGGGAATTCAGTGACGAATTCGATATCGTCTTTGTTATGAATTAGCATTGTAATACCTAATTTCAAAAGCCATAATATTATTATGTCTTTATTATGTATTTAATGAAACGGGTAAAAGACTGCAAAGATGTGTCTATAATGTCTCCGCAAGATGAACAGTGAATACGGACAAGTTTACTCTGTTTGTATACTGTAATTTTCTTGTTTTACTAAGTACAACCGGTTGCAGTCAAAACATAAACAAACAAAATGTAAACATAGCAGACGAAACTCTTACAGATTACAGCTTTCTCAGTAGGTATCACTATACTAAATCAAAGAATTATTTGAAAAGACGATATCGAATTCGTCACTGAATTCCCATGTTTTTTGGGACACCCTGTACTATTTACTGCAAGTCTACAGAAAAAAACGGGAACATTTTATCTTCTTCGTTACTTTGCATTTACGGTTGAAAAAACTATGCATAAAATTTTTGTTTTTCACTGACGAAGGACTACTTAACATTTTGACATTGCATCGACTTTAAACCAGTGCTTAGGATCCCTTCCAATTTGATGCAGATGCGGGTTATTTTTCTTTTTCGCTTATTTGTATGCTTTACTCAAACAACCATTTAGAAATAAGGACACTTAATAATCTCTCTTTTTTTAACAGTTTATACGGATCCGTATTTAAATCAGTCTACTTGAATACATACCTAAAATGTGAACATCTAATACTAATCATTGTTTTTAACATATCTGAAAGCAGAATTGCGATTTAAACATTTATTAATTTGAGAATACATAATTGCAAAATGTTGATTTTATTACAATACAAATTATGCGTAGCACATATTTTTAAACTCTCTAAACATTAGATGGTTAGATACTTTAAGTTTGCCCAATGAATTAAACAGAATATTTTTAACGTTTTTACAAGAAGAGAGACCTGAGGTCTGAACTTTTAAAGGATTATCCCTTCTTATAGGATTAATCCATCCATATCTTTTGCAATCCGAAGGATAGAGTTGAATCTTCTTAAATCAGAAACCAACAAATTTATTTTTAAACAAGAGTTAGCTGTTCTTAACAGATTAAAGCATATGATTGGTTCAGATTAAGTTTTCAGATTGAACATCGGACCCAGGGGTTGTAGTTAAACTAATCAGTTTAGCTAGATAGAATGTTAAAAACCAGGATTAAATTATATAATGTTTTCATCAACGAACTTATTAGGAGTGATGCTTGTTTTTAGAATGTATTTATCTGTATATCATGCACGAATATCAAATCTTAAAACTAGATCTTTCCGTGCTAACTTTTCTTCTTCTACTATCTTGGAGTTCTCCAAGCAGGAGAACTAGCTTCTGTTGTTCTGGAAGACCAAGGACTCCGTCCTGGAGTATCTTGTAGAGATCTAGTCGGTATATTCATTTATTTTACGTATAAATACAAGGGCATGTATTGACTTTTCAACTTTCGTGGACAAATATGGCGTCAACCGCTGCCCCCCCCCATCCCTTTCAAAACAAATTCTTTCTTTTTAAAAACAGAGATTAGCGATAAAACCTCAAAAAAATCCTTTTTTAATGATTCCACACTTTGGAGGCGGAAAAGATTCACATTATGAAGGGGGAATGATAATTTAAAAAAATCTTAAAAGTAAGATTATATTAATCAAACAAATGTATGTTAAAAAAGTTAAAGAAATGAAGCATATCCTCTCCTAGGTGTGTCCCGTGGGGTTCGGAAATACTGAGGTTCCTAAACATAGCGAATTAAGTAAGTAAGTCAGCAAGTAAATAAATAAACAAGTGAACAAGTGAACACTTGAGCACTTGAGCACTTGAGCACTTGAAATTAGACGAATAGACGAATAGACGAATAGACGAATAGACGAATAGACGAATAGACGAATAAACGAATAAACGAATAAACGAATAAACGAATAAACGAATAAACGAAGTAAAGAATAAAATAACAAACCAACAAACCAACGAACAAACGAACAAACGAACAAACAAACAAACAAACAAACAAACAAACAAACAAACGAACAACGAACAAACGAACAGACGAAGTNGAATAGATGAATAGATGAATAGATGAATAGATGAATAGATGAATAGATGAATAGATGAATAGATGAATAGATGAAAAGACGAAGAGATGAAAAGATAAATAGATGAAAAGATGAACAAAAGAATAAATGAATGAATGAATAAAAGGATGAATGAATGAATGAATAAACTCTACCTGTGAGACTGTTGCCAGAAATTGACCGCAAGGGGAGAACGCGAACTCGTTGATACAACTCCCATTCACAAACAATCTGCCAATCAATTGATTAATTCATCAAATTTCAATCAATCAATCAAACAAAAATAAATCAAATATCAATCAATCAGTCAAAAATCAATCAATTAGTTAATCAAATATCAATCAATCAATCAATAACTAAATTTCAATCAATCCACTAAACAAATATCAATCAAATAATTCAAGCAACCAATCAATTAATCAAAAACTTTTGTTGAGGATAGCTTCAGGGACTTGATAACAGACAGGTGCTGTTCAATAATTAAAAACATTACTTACCTTGAAATTGGATTTTTGGGTGGTTTAGATTTGCAAGTATAATAAGTGTAACCAGTACCCTGCCGGGTCGAATGAAAATAG